AGGGGGTGAGGTTTGGAGGAGGGGGGGGTGAGGTTTGGAGGAGGGGGTGAGTTGTGAAGCGTTACACCCCCAGTAAGGTCATTTTTTGACTGGTAGTAGCGTTCCCTACCAACACAGAACAGGGGCAGATGCGCATATTTCCAGGCTAACGTTAAGGTTCTCCCGATTTATGTTTCTTAGCTAAATATTTCATGGCACACTCGTGGGTACTGTCTAATTTGACAGCTGCATATAGTCTTTGCACACCACATTCTCTCCCATCCAGCAAACTGGATCCGCCAAGCTTATTTATCTAATAAAAGTCGAAAAAACAATAGAAACTATTCTGTGTTTTCAAATAGTTCAACTGCGCCCTGGCCTACTAACCTTAGTATTCTTTGTTTACCTACGCCTAACTTATAGGAGGCCTGGCCCCTAGAACCACTAGGTGGCCTATTATTATTATTATTATTATTATTATTGTACACTTATATAGCGCATATCAAACTTCTCTATGCGCTGAACATTATTACCCCGGATCACTGGATCAAGCACATATGGAACACACACTCAGGCCCCATAGGGGAATTCCATAATGTTGCCTTATGAGCATGTACCCTGTCTCTTGTTGCAGCTGTATTCAGCGCAGGCTGTGTTTGAACCTACCAGGTACCCACTTTTACTCCTGGGTGGAGAGAGACAACCGTAGATAAAGTGCCTTGCCCAAGGACACAAGCGACTTACACAGCGAGAGTTTTGAACCCCCGACCTCGAGGTTGGGAGTCCAAACCACAACCGATTCGCCAACCACTTCTACCTAAGCCTAACTTGGCCCTGGCCTAACAAGCCGGGCCCTAGCATAAATAGCCGGCCCCTGGCCTAACTAGGCCCTTGGCCTGCCACTAAAGGCCCCTAGCCTAGGCCCCTAGCATCAATTCAAATCTCTGATTAATCTAAAATGAATTTTATACAACAGAAGTCCATCGCTTACCGATTGTACAGCCGGGTCTTAGCTTACTCTAGCGATACAATTACAAAAGACTGTGAGATTGAGTATTTGGGTTTTGACACCATTGACCTATCATAGTCCTAGCACTAGTGAATACACACACTATCCTTCTATACTTGGTATTTGACCGCTATCGTTATCATTGTGAAGATAGGCTGTATGGTATTTCTAATACCTTTTCTAAGGGACGCCAACTAGATCAATTATAATGTAAAATCTGCATAATAATACTAAATATCGCTGTTTTTGTTATTTTGCAGAAAGAGGGAGATCATAAAAACATATTTTTAAAATTTTGAGGGTATTAGACTAATACCTTAATACCCCCTCCGCTATGCCCCTGAGATATATCTATATATATATATATATATATAAGTTCTACATTTTCCACACACACACACACACACACACCCACACACACACACACACACACCCACACATTTATATACCTCATACATAGATTCCAGTTCTAGGCGATCAAAGGGCCAATCTCTCTCAGCATCATAGTCGAGTCTCATTTACTGTCTATGTGTCTTACATAGTAACGCAGCCTAGCACATCGCACAGCAGGGCAAAAAGTATTATCGCATAGGGTAATAATAGTACTTTCTATCACCCTATTGTTAACCAATCAGATGCCTAGAATGTGTGTATGCAGTATTTAATAATAAATATATAAATTATATTCTACTACCTCCCTAGGCCCATTTCTTAAATATGTGATTTAAGTGTGGTATTCATGATTGTGACCACCATTGCCAATAACATTAACTTTCGATAAGATTATTTTATTTTGTTCTATCTTCATAGGTTCCAGTTATAGTAAAGTATTGGCGTTGTGTGTGTGTGTATGTATGTATGTATATTGAAAATGTAGAACTTGTAGAACTTGGTATAATCACTCTACCGACTGTTTCATACTAATGCAATTTTCAGGAGTGAGAGAATACACGGAATGTGTGAGTATATGAATGCTAAGGCAGGGGAAAATGCAAATGATTTAATTGTTTTAAGTAATCATGTGTTGTTGTGCCTGCATTTAGACAATAGCTCGGTTCTTTTGTTTAGTATTGACTGTTTGTCTGAATAAATTATGTGAAGTTTTTCGGTTATGCATAGGTTGCAGCGTTTTGTTTTTGGGGAGTAAGCCGATGCTCTGTCGATAATAGACCATTTGAAATTGTAGGGTGCGTTGCTGGTCTTTTAATTTCCATACATGTTTGGAGAGTAGGGTGCTGTTTCTGTGTTTGGGGTGTTAAAAGTGTATTTGTGGTTTGTGTATCGGGTTTTGTGTCAGTGTGTCAGTGAGCCCGATGTAGCATTTTGTGTCATCATTTGAGTGGACAGTGGCTTTGTAGATGATGAATGAGGTGAGGCAATTTCCAGGGAGTGGACATTCATCATTTTTTCCGCAATTCAGTGGTGTAGAAAAGTATTTTTCATTGGGGGTGATGATTGAAAATTCTTGAAATTGACATAAAATTACTGATGTCTTACACACCCTTCAGTGTGAAAATGTGGCTTGCTTTGCAAGCACATCTAACATCTAAGGAAAGAAGAGCTTAGATTGGTACCAGATAAAATAATTTTGTTATCAACATTAATACATTATGCTAATTTTCATAAGCGCATAAGACAATGTTATCAACATTAATACTTTATGCTAATTTTCGACATTGAAAATTATTTCTGTGACAGTCTTTTGTAGTGTGTAAAGCTCCATTTTATCCCATACATAGTCAAAATATTGGGCACTAGACCTCCACTATAATACAGATGTGTATAAGAGACAGATTGAGGAATATATCCCCCATCCCCCCGGGATCTACGCATATGCTGCAATTGCAGAGTTTATCTGGCTGTTGTTGCTTAGCAACCAGAAGCTGTTTGTTGTGGGCTCTGATTATACTGCCCATGTTTCTTGAGCAGCTATAACCTGACTTTAACATTGTTCTTGGTGAAAAGGTTCATCTGGATCTCTATATGTATTTGATAAGTTTACGAATTTATTCAATTAAATTTTTGGATCATCAAAAAGAAATCTTTATCAAAAACATTGTTCTTGTTGAACAGCTTGTGCAAAATGTTGCCACTTGGGAAATGTTTCTTTACAAGGTTAAGGAATGATTTTCCGATGTTGGTTTTAACTCCTGTGCTGAATGGTGGGTTGTACCAGATTATTTGTCTGCTTCTATTTCTCTTTTGGGATTTTGGTTGTGGAGGCTGGTATTCCATTTTGTGCTGGAATCCGCTGGTCATTTATATAGCGCCTTTCCTTACATATATCATTGGGTCCACATGCGTAAGTGTTGCTTGTAACACACACACAAACACCCACACACATATATAACTTCATTAGCATTTCCTCTCTTCAAGATGTGGTGTTCAGCAAAAGTTAACAGCTAATTTATAGATATACAAATTTAGTAATCAAATTTTTAGCTCATGAGAGACAGTATATTTTTCAGCAAGTTGAAGTATTATGCTAACAGACTTTTTACCACAAAACTCTTTATTGACGTAATAAACCGATGACGGGAATATTTTTTTTTCATTAACATTTTTATTTGTAAGTTAACACAGTAAACCTTTCAGCAAGCGGATGTATTATGGCTAGTACGACTAGTGAAGTCTGAAATGTTTATTACTCTACCATAGATATTAGAACATTTTAGTCTGTACATACCTTTTAGTAGGATAAATTTAATTGGCACTTACATTTTATAATGGGTGTAGGTTTCATAATTGTCCATTGTCCACTCTTCATCAAAGTAAGATCCTGCTACTTCATCGCCATTCTCCTTATAAATAATTGGCTTTTCAGCAAACCTTATATCATCCTTCATAGATACAAAATTAAAACTGATTACCATAGGCATTTGTGACCCCCTCCACTAAAAAATTAATATATGGTATGTTCCTTTTTTTTCACTGATAGGGCCTAATATAATCACAAGTTTTGAAATTTAATATAATAAAATATTGACTTCCACTATTTTCTAGTTTTAAAAAGGCATTGACTTGCTTAGATTATTACAACAATTCAAAAATATTTGCTTTGAAATACACAATAATGTATCTCAACTAGAATTATTTCTTTTACGCCACCGCAGTAGCATTGCCTCCACGCAGTGCATTTTTTTTTTCAATATAAAATGTTAAAAATTTTTAAATTATGAAAATGTATAAGCATTTTGAATTTGCTTTTAGATCATGAGTATTATGGCTAAATGGGGGGGGGGGAGAGGGTAATGTTCCCCAGTGTTTCGCCCCTCAGCCACTGACTCTGTATAGACTTATCGGGAATATTTTGAAACAGCGCCGCCAACGTCTTACAAATCACTGGGGGATTTTCAGGGGCCTAGCCTGAGAAGCTGGAGAGTTACAGAAGGGGCACCGCGCAGTGGAGAGCGCCACTAGACCTCCACTATAATACCAGCAGTAGACAACAGATACGATCTTACTAATTACTGTAATTACTGTATATGTAAACATTGAAATAGATTTTTAAGACTTAGACTCGTTTTTAATATAAACATTTCGTGTTTTTTCCGTTTTAAAATGTTTGTGCTCGTAAGTAATTTAGTTTTATCGTTCATTTAATCTACGTAGAGCTAAATGCTAGGCCTCTGAAAGTCCCCAAGTGGTAGTTGCCAGGTTAAGACCACAGTCCTACTATAATAGCTTGATTGCTTATTGGCTGGCTTTAGTGAGGCCACCAACGCCATGTTGGGGGCCTAAGAACGTATCATTTTAGAAAAGTTTCTTTTGGCATTTGTTTATTTAATTGTTAAAAATAACGATTCTTGCAAAACTTTTTAATAATAAATTTAAATTTAACGCAATGATTATTATCATCTATCTACAGTAACTTGATGTGACTTTTATGCAGTTTACGAAAGTGCAAGCAAAGTTATTTGCGTTGTTAGGGATCGACGTCACTATAACAACGCGACTACGCTCGCAATTTTATAAACCGTCTAAACAGTCGCGTCTAGTGGTTAAATAGTTTGAAAAAAAAATCCTAAGTAAAATTTAAATTTATTATTGAAAAGTATTGCAAGAATCGTTATTTTACTATACGTCACTTAGGCCCTCCAACATGGCGTTGGAGGTCTCACTTTTTTCTGTACCAGGATTGGCCAATGAGCAATCCAGCTATTATAGTAGAGATCAGTGGTTAGGACATGTAAAATAATAATAATAATAAAAAAACATAAAAAAAAAAACAGGTTCGCTATTTATCATATAAAAAGAGGTTCGCTATTCATAATAAAAATAGAGGTTCGCTATTCAAAATAAAAAGAGGTTTGCTATTTATAATTTTAAAAAAAAAATCGCTATTCATTATTTAAAAAAAAAAGGTTTGCTATTTATAATTTTAAAAAAAAAGGTTCGCAATTCATAATATAAAAAAGGTTCACTAGTTAATAAATCAATTAAAAAAAAGGTTTGTCATAATAAAAATAAAGCTAATTACACTTTGAAAACAAAAATGGTTTACTGCTCATTACAATAAGAGTAAAAGTTAGTCGTAGTCCTACATTTTGTTCACCCCCACATAACGCCTCTCCCGTGCACTCAACCCGGCACAATTTTCGCCATTAAACCACCACCTTCATTATTGTCATTCTTTGAGTTTTTTTTTGTTTTTAACTGTAATTTTTTTAATTGATAATGTCAATAAATAAAGTGTACATACTAAATTATAATTATCATTTCACGTGAAATGAAAACTATAGTACTTAGAAGAAAAAAATACACGTTATTGTACTACGTAACATAAATAAATGATTTTATTATTAAAATGAGAAATTCATCGTAATTACTAATTTCATTTTGTCCTTTTCCCTGTTAATGGTATTTTAGATATAAGAAGATATGTTTCTTTTTCAAATTTATTTTTAGATTTCTTAAAATAAATCACAGTGCTAAGATGTCAAGTATATTATCATGAACAAACAAACCGCCCATGAAGTCAGTGATTGCATTTATAAGGCATCGTTTCGGAATTTCCAGCCCACAGGCATCATGAGATCCTGTCATTCTAATCAGGTCACCCAAGTCTTGTCATCCAATGTGCTTGTTTGTAGTCCTGTCTCTTATACACATCTAGATGTGTATAAGTGTATATATATACACTATATATATGTATATATATATTCATTTTTCATTTCATTTTCTCTTTATTTCAGACTTTACATCCATAGTTAAACATCATTAACTTAACTAATAATATTATAAATACAAGGGGAAAATAAAACTCAAATGATCCATAGAAATTATGGATTAACATAAAGAAGTTCGTTCCATCTTTTTGAGAGCCTAGAACTTTCAAAAAATCCATTTACAGAACGAACTAAAGGGTTTACACAAGTAGAAGATCGCTTTAAAAAGCTAAAGATTGATTTTCTCATAAATTCTTGGAAAGATAATAAATTATTACTAGAAATTGCAAATTGCAAGTGAAGTGCTGCGAAGTACAACTGCATATAAATGTTCTTCGAACAAAATTATTTATGGGAGTCAAGTGAAAATACACGACACGACCCATTGTCTATTAGAACACTTCTCATTGGGTAACAAAGTCTAATTTTTCATTTTTGTCAAAAAGTGTCTATAGTGGTGAATTATGGTCTAGGTTTTTTTTTTTAAATAAAGTTTCAAAAATTTCTATGTATGTGGAAAATGTAGTTGATTACCAAAGGTTACAATTTTTATTTTGAAGACTGCATGGTCTAGGAAGTGTACATTTTTTATCGGGCAAGTTTCCAAGTGCGGGTTTTCTAGGGGCGAGTTGACTGCCAAAGAGTGTTGCCAAAGTGCGAGCCAGCGTGTTATTTGATCACAAGTGCGAGACATCACAAAGTATGAGCCAGCGAACCATGACGTCACGACAATAGATACGAGACATTAACGAGTTGTGCGAGGTATCGGCTGAGATTTGTGGAGTACAATTCAAAAAACAACTATAGGTCTAATAATGAATTATTGTGATGTTAAATAGACAA